GATTCATTGATTATGCATCTTTTGAACCTTGGTGTCTTCTTGAAAGCAGAAAATTTTCTGCCGGAATCACTGGACTGGAAACTTTAGGGCTAAGAGATCACGGTATAAGTGGTTCCAATTCTGAGCAGATCCGTGAACATGACTTAGACCTCTGCTTCTGTGGCCACAGACTGAAATTGTAATTGGCAATGAGTAGTTTTTGGTCTCTTACCCTTAATCATTAAATCACAGAATATCCTGAGTTGGAAGGGACCCAATAAGGATCATCAAAACCAACTCTTTGAGGTTTTTTTGACTTCAGAAATGATGAGAATGATTTTCATTAACTACTACTCACTCTTGAGTATATTAAACCATTTAAAGAGAAAAAAAAACAACCATGAAGCCACCAAAAAAATCTGCTTTTGAAAATGTTATTCAAATCATCCGTGAACTGCAAGGCTCTTCCTGTTTGTACACAAATTCAATTGCTTTTGGAAGTAAGTAAAGGGTGAGATGTAGATGGAGCAGGAATTTTTCCGCATGAGACTATTTCTTCTTTGTAGCAACTGGGGGAGTGAGAAGTTGTCTGAGAAGCCCTGAGACATTCCAGAGAAAGAGGCGGTTTCCCAGAAATTCTGCAAAGCCCGTGGGCTTCACAATGCTAGCATTTCTACACCGCTCTACACACAATAGCCAAAAAGTGCAATGCAAATATGACCAGACTCTCTAGTGTTCCATTACAACTTTGCCTTCATTACAATTAGTGCAGTTGGATTAGATGATCTTTGAAGGTCCCTTCCAACTGAATTACTTTATTCTGCTCTGGAGGATTAGCACTCAGCACCTCAGTTAATCACAGTGCTCAGCAAGCCCTGTTCGATACAGTCTATGATGCTGACCCTACGTTTACTATTAGCAGCACTTCTGGAGTCATACCATATCCAAAGACATGCTGTCAACACACAACGGTCTCCAAGCAAGACTAATACAAAGGAAGACTATTCCTAAATTCCACCCAACCATATAAGCAATTTTCAAGATAATAATAATAAAAATTCGGTATCTGAGGTAGCAACACCAAGGATGTGAATTAATTACATGCTCATAGCTTAGTACAAAGCCACATACTTCTGGACCCTATTAATCTGCTGCTCTACTTTGGAAGCAAAAGCACAAAACCTGAAATGGAGCAGGTGGTGGCACAAAGTAGTTCATTTCTGGATGTACCATAAGCAGAACATCTTTTCCAAAACGTGGTAAGCACAACCCTCCTTTCACTTATACACTGCAGTCCCACTCAGATTTCACAGTTTGGTACTACCATATGCAGCAAAATTCATCCATGAAAATCACACTGTCCATGATGTTCATCATAAATAAACAAATAAATACCAAGCAAAGCTAAAAATCTCAAAGGCCTGGCCAGGTATCAAAAAACGGTGTCAATTCTCATCCCTTAATTCAACCATATTTTCTCTGAGTTGCCTTGACAAACTACCCAGGGATATGTATCCATAATGGCTTCTTCATTTATCTTAGTTTTTCCGGTCCTAAAATAAATTAGTGGCACACACTTAATTCCTAAGTTGTGACATGAAGCAGAATTCATTTGGTGCTCTTCAGTACCTGAAGAGATTTACTGGTAAAGGATTCCCCAGGGAAACACTGACCAGCATGTGCTTCACTGGCTCATATACTTCTGGGTGCAGTATGACTTTTCAATATAATTCCAAAGTGAACATAGAGGTAAAATGTATTCGTATTTCTGTATTTCTAATAATGTTCTCCCTGGAATGTCAAAGCTCAAAATTTAAGAAATAACTGCTCTGTATGTGCATGCTAATACACTGCTTTGCAGATGGGAAATAGAAAAGTCTTCTTGTAAGCACAGAGCCGACACTGGTATATTTCTTCCAGAAATAATTACAAAATCCAGGATTTCTCTGTATTTATGTGACTTTGATTCTTAGATGGCACATGGACTACTTAGAGATCACGTTACTAAGTTAGTTGCAGTTAATGGGGGAAAAAAAGGCTAAAATTAATGGGTCACTGGGTATTTTCTTCTGAGAACTTAAGTACTTAACAGTAAGAAAAAAACAGTTTACAGCCAGGTGGCTTGAGGGGATATTTTGTTGAACACTGATTAAAAATAATTTCTTCTAAATGAGACCTGACCACAAAATGGGTCCATTAACGAGCAGGGACATTCTCACCAGAAAGGAAACTACGCTTGATCGACTCCTGCACCGCCCACAAACCCCAGGTCTTTTTCTCTCTCTCACACACTCTCCTCTTTTATTTTTTCCTCCTTCTTCTCCTCTCCCCTTTCCTTGTTCTTAATAGCAGGGTAAATAAGCAGCAAGTGATGCCGAAATGTTTTCGGCCAAAAACAGAGGCCAAACTCCTCTGAGAAAACATTTGGCCTCTGTGGTTTTGTAATATGTTCCAGAACACTGAGTTCACTGAAGAACATTGTGAAAAACTCCCATCGGCTGGAGTGATGCTGGGGAATGTTACTGTATCCCAACTTCCAATTGGTCCATTTCCTGCAGGCCTTGTTAAAAAAAAAGAAAAAAGAAAAAAAAAGAAAAGAAAAAAAAAATAGTGCTATGTGGGAGTTAAAATAAGTTCTCATGGGAAAAATGAATGGTAAGAAATTCTAGCTTTAAAAGAAACAGCTAATCTGCTAGTTTGATTGTTCTTCAAAACTTACAATGAACCAATAATCCTAATTAAAAACACTTGGCCTAGTTCTCTAAAGCATCATAGCTTTTTCTATGCTTCGTTTGTACACACCATAGACTATTAGTTTTTTTCTAGTGCTCACTAACAAAGTGCTGACTTTGTTGGGATGGCTGAGCTAATTTCGTGAACTCAGTGTGAAACCTTAGCTAAACAAAATTGTGGTAATTTTCCTTAATTTGTAAAAGTGATTGGAGTGCAAACAAAATTTTCCTCTTGGGTCAATCCTATAATTTTCAATTAACTAAAACTAATCGGCAGGCGTGTACCGAACCTGCATTTTGTTTAAAGGGCTGGAAGGCACTTCTGAAGGTCAGGATGCGTTAATTGTTTTTATTTTAGTTTCACTTAGTCCTTTAAAAAAAAGACACATTTAAGATTAGGCTGCCTGTGAAAGGATTGAAAAGATGCAAATTGTGGGAGGTGCTATTTCAGTCACAATAGCATTTCCATATCCACCATCACTCCATTAAAGCTGCGTACGTACAAGAATCACCTTTGATTTTATCACTGTTGTTTAGTATTTCATATAAATAAACTTTTGTTTATTGAATGAAAAATCATGTGTTTCAAACACTAACCTGAAAAGGCATATATGGAAATACTTTCCCTACTGGGACAACTTATTTCCACATGCAACCATCTGCTATTGGGCAAGCAGGCTAAACTGCCATTCTTCTTTCTCCTAGAAAAGCTATATAACAGTGATCTGAAAAGAAAAACAAAATGGGTCCAAGACATTTTACCATTTAAACTGCATAAAGAAGTCCCCACAAATTTTTTTGTATAGTTGAGAAGGGTCAGGTTTCCTCCCTGTCTCTCACTTTGCATGCACACTTTCCATTTCACTGGCCAAACTGCAGCCAGCCCAGTGGCTTACCAACAGGCAGAAGGAGAGCACAGCTTACTGTATGAAGTCAGGAAGGGAAAGGATTCACAGTGAAACTGTCCAGAGCTCCGGCTGACACTTTCATGTGACGTACACTGACAATTTGCACCAGCTGGCAATTTCACCCTTTTCCTTCCCCTTTTGTTCCAGCACATTCAAACCCTAAGTAACTTTATGATATGATGCATTATTGTTCAGTGTATGAACTTCCCACACACTGCTGAAATCATATTACTCACAATAAATACACAGCAAAGTCTGCTGCTTAGTGAGTGAGGCAATACGTGAACACTGAGATCCACAAAAAAAAAAAAACAACAACAAAACAAAACAGCACATAATCCCAATCAGAGGAGAGAGTATTTGCAAGAAGACAAGAAAGCTTTATATGTCACCTTTGTTCAACTTTGTGTTAAAGAAATCTAATGAGAGCTTTGTTACTCAGAGCACAGAAGTACATCCTCTGCCTTGAGCTCCTGTGTGTACACTCACAACTGGATAAATGTATGTGCCCAGTGTAATTCAGAATGATCCATAATATGTACTTATGTGGCATATAATTCTTAAAGTTTCAAGTGCAGTCAAGGATGAGGCAAGGAATTGCACTGGATTGTGACGATGTTCTTCAAGCAAACAGTTACAGAAGCAGTAGTCATGTCTGCACTATGGGTCAAACAACAAGCACATCCAAACATGGAGCAAGTTGTTAATTCTCAAAGCATGCATAGCTTCCAAGGAATCAAAGACACATGTGTTTGTTTGTTTGTTAGAAAAGGTAGGCTGCTACTTGGTTTATTTCCCATGCCATCTATATTACTACTGAGAGTGATTTAATATCGACATTATTGTAATGTCTTAGCAGTTTTGTCATTAACTCTTCAGGTCAGAGCACCCTACTCAGTGGTCTCAGCCCAAAACACAGCAAGTCATTATGTCTGAAGCACTGACTGGGGTGAAAGCCACATGGCCCCCACCGAAACCAGAAGCAAGTATGTTATAGGGAAATGGGAAGGCATTTCCCTGTAACTTTCAACACTTGCTGAGCCCTGTTACAACATGAGATGCAGATTTTTAGCAAGACTATTTCTTGGAAAGCAGGTTCGTGAACACACTGTGTGTCTGGCTCATTCCTTCATACCCGTAGCTCACAGGTAAAGAGATGCCCTACAGTGAGGACCAACAAGCAAACAAACATCCCACACTAGTATGCCTTCTGATTCATCTCTACATTCCTCCATTTCAAAAATTCAACTTTATATTGATGTGCTCAGCCCAAATAATAAAATATGGTACAGTTTTCATGATGAAAGCTGAAGCCCTAGCGAGCACGATACATTGCCTACCCTATTTCTCCACATTATATCTGGCACTAAAGTATCCTTACCTGTGTAAATGAATCTTCCAGGCGTTCCCTTGCAAAACTGCTTAGACTTGTAGGACAATGTGACTTCTACAACCCCTGGGATATGTCGGGGAGGTGTCTGTACGCGGATGGCATGAGGAGTAATCAGCTAGAGGAAAACATTGAGAAGAGAAAAGAGGGGGGTGGGGGGGAAAGCACTGTTAGATGCTGAACACTTCTTTAATAACACTTTCCTCTGAGATCACAGTAAACAAGCTTTGAAACATGTAATTAACCTGTCAATGTTTGAATACAATCACAATGTAACCCACACAAAAGCCAGAGACTACAATATTTATAAGCATTCTCCCTTCTCAGCCACAGCAGCATTATTTCTGTTTTCATACATGGCAGACGCTCACTTCCTAGCACAAGCATTAGCCCTGGTTTAATGCAACAGCTTTAGCTTACACCAGCAAGATGCTTACATTTGCTAAGGTGAACTCTGGGGTCATGGCAGTGTCCAGCAAACCTAACTGATAAATGATGCATGGTTCTGCATGTGACATCCCTTCAGCTGAGACTGGCTGCCCAGTGCAAGCCCAGGCAGGCTTTTAAAACTGGTCCCCAGCTGACATCTGTACACTGCAAAAGCACCATGTGCTACGGTTTTAATTAGAGACTCTTTCCTATTCATCTTCTGGAGGCATAACTGATTACCGCAGAAATGCAAAGTTGGGTTTCTGAAGGATGCAGGATGTTTCTTTGCAACTGATCAAAGCTCTCAAAAGAGGTGTACCAAATATAACTATTTATCCATTTGTTCCAGTTTGCATCCACTGCAATGGCTGACACAGCTCTGAGAGGTCTCCTCTACGTGCAGGTAATAACTAGAAAATGACTTTCTTGCTAAGAGGACTAATGCCCCTGTATTCCACACAGAAGGATGGGATGCGTCAGTGCTTCTCATCCTGGACTCTGTTAGGATTATTGGCTGGATTTAAAACGTAGTCCTTGAAATTAATATTAGAACCATTTAGGAGTTCACTAGTTTCTTGCACTTTAACTCAAACTTTTTGCTATGTTCAGAAACCACAGAATTGCTCTCCCCATCACTAAATGTTATTTTCTCACTCATTCTGCCACCTCAGACAGGAGCAGTAAAAAAAGAGGTACACAGAAAAAGTACCATGATTGTATCCAGCAAACAAGATACAGCTCTGGCACATGCATTACCCTACTCTTGGGCACCCTAAAACACAACCAACCAGGCCCACAACCACACCTGTCAATGATCAAAGCCACAGGTACCCTCAGCAGACAATAACAGTGCTGTCAGCTGACATGTCCTAAATTAGGGAATACAATTTAATACTATTTTTTTTTCAATTTTATTTTTTTAATAAAAGCTGTCTTAGACTTTATTTTTTACCAGGAATGAAGTATTACAAAATCACAGTGAGATCCTATAAAAAAATTAGGCTTCTAAGCAGGTCACTGTTTAGGGCACAGGACTGTTGCTCCAAGCCAATATAACAAATTGCCAACAAAGCTAAAATTCCCAAATAAAGCAGTCTGTTAAAAAAAAAAAAAAAAAAATAGAGAGAGAGAGAGAGAGAGAGAAGGAGAGGAATGTCTGTCTCAGAGCCATCTGTGTAACTGCAGGAAATGGCATTCACAGTAGGAAGTTCTCCATATTTAAAATAAGAAAATTAGTGTTAGATCAAGTTGAAGATTAAAAACAACACTACCAGCATCAAATATTCCAAATCTTATTGAGTCCCACATAAATCATAGGATCAGCTCCCAACTCATGTCATGTTAGAAATGATCACATAAGAATCGATGTTCTTGTCTGAGAGCTCCAAAGAGATCTTTGAAACTACGTGATTTAGGAACTTACTTATTCTTGAAAGGAACATGCCTTTTTCCCCAAATTATTCACTCTATCTACTGGTCAAAACAAACAACTCTAAGGATCCCTTTTACTTAAACTGAGTAGCCTTAAAAAGGAGCTGACCAAAGTCATAAACTCTAGACTAATGCTCTACATGTCCTCGATCATCAGCAGAAACACAACAGTAATTTCCTTCCATGGTTTTAGACAGCTCTCAGTTAGCATAAGCTGCTCTCTGGAAGTATCTACCTTTCTCCAGTTAACCAAGGTGACAAATTTAGATGCTTAACTGTAGGCAGCCAAGCACAGCTGAAATAAATCCCACCCTCAGGTAGTTCTAGTCAGCTGGGTGGACTGGCAAGGTGAGAAAAAATTCATGACATTTTTAGGGGAAAAATGGTTATAAATACAGCCAAGGATTTTAATACTGAAGGTTAACGTGCTAGTCTTACTGCATCAGTCTGTGCCCCACACCCCTCATCGCCATTCTGGCATGAGCTATACGGGCAGCTTCTGGTTCTATCTTTGAATTTCCCAACATTTACTGGTCTGTCACCACTTTAATGTTCCTTAAACATAATTTGTGGCATTTTCCAATACTCATCTTCACTGGTTCCCAAGAAATGTCTGACCTATTTATGGTCCATTGTTACAGAGAGTTGGGGAGAGTTAAGCAAGTTTCCTGGTTTGTTCTCCACAAACAGTTTGGTTTTCCTTTGTGCTCTGAAGTAAATAAGTTTAACTGTGTTTAAAACCACAAATATACAATACTGTCTCCCACACATTCCCAAAGGGTGAACATTATGTCTAAAGTTATATGGTTTAGGATAATCAGTATATATTTTATTCCTCTCTTCTCTGGAACTGAAGCCTGGGAGATGTATGTGGAGAATACATGTTCCTCTTCCTTTAGCTTTTTCTCCTTACCTCTACCACTGACCTCTATCAGGAATGCAGCACTGAGCTAGAAGTACCTGACCTTCTGGGTCAACACTTGGTTCTCATGCCCACAGAAAGGAACTAGCTAACTTGGTTATATACCAGTATCTCCCTATATTGTTCCTGGCTCAAGAAATTGGCTTTCAGAGACAAAAAATGTCACTACACTTAGAAACCCTCCTCTGAATCCACCTCTGTTCCTGAACTCTGGTTCCCCAACACCATCAATGTATCATCCTGAATCTGTTTTGCAGTCAGTGTGATTCAAAGGTGCTGCATGAATCAGGGTGCACAACCACAGCAAATTTACCCCTCATCTTAATGACTCCAGAATCATAGCATATTTTCCTGTTGAAGTGCTGACCTGTGGTGTGACCTGGGGAAGTCCCACCACATTTTGCTAGCGCATTTTCTCCTCTCACACTGACACAGATTATACCTTTTTTCACTGCACAGTCTGTCTAGTATTTGCATGCAAAGCACCTGGAATAGGTAAGCTATTAGAATCAGGTGATCTTGAACATAAAGATGCCACTTTTGGAGGCCCCTGAGACCCAAAGTATTGAACTTCTTGAGAAACATCATTATACGTTCACCTCATTGCTTTCATAGACATCTGCCATTGCCCACTGCCAAACACAATACATAGAGAAGATGAACCTCCATGTCTCACTCAGTGTGGGCATTATGATGTTCTAACCTCAGGTGGTAACACATATTGCATTAACAGACAACACAACACCTAACATGACATGAAATAAGAATCTGTAAGTAAGAATTACCTACATTTCTGAGCATGTGTTCAGATGTAAATCCCGAGCAACGCACTAACTTGTGACTTGGAGATGAACCAAGCAGCCAGAATCCCCAAAACCAACTTCCTTTCCCAATCCAGTAATTGGCAAATTGAGATCTGGAGTTGGACAACAACTACCGACTGCACCCTTCTCCCAAGGGATTTTCAAGTGAATTGGTCTGGTACTTGGCATCTGTACTAGATGTTTTATATAAACTCTTACTTGTTCTCTGGGACATGCTGTGGATTGGATTAAAACCTGAGTTAGAGATATTCAGAATGGACGGAGGTGCATGTCCTTCAAAATCTAAAACACATTTAGTTTGTGTACAACAAGCCTCTTTCTGTGGTTTGCTAATATATTCTAGACATTCTTCTGTGATACACCATCATTTCACACTCTTCAGACTGCCAGGTTACTTTCTTTTTTTGAAAAGTGACATTTTATAAGAAGATGTCATTAATGTGAGTCACTAGTTTATTTCTGCGTGCTTGAGCTCTGGTTTGTGGTTGGGGAAATGGTGACAATCGGTCATAAATTTAACTTGGACTCTGTGTGAAGAGGACTATTAGGACAGGAATTAAAAAAAAAAAAAAACCAACAAACTGAAGGTAATGAATGGCTTGCAGGAGGAACGGGACCCTTAAGGTATCTATTTTCAAAAGTGACCAGTGGCTTTGCATGCCTCAATACTGGGCATCCAGATGCTGATTAATAAGCCTTGGCTTTCAGAATGAGGATGCCTACTCGTTTTTTAAAAATGAGTCAGACCTCCAAAATAAGCTCTCAAAAAGAGAGACTTCCAAAATCAATAATAAACATGAAAAGCAAAACAAAAAACTGTGTCACAGAATTTGATTCAGCAGCATAAAAAAAAAAAAAAGAAGCTCTGTTTTTGTGCTGTACAAAGGCAAAAGAGCTGATGTTTCAGTGCTTCATCTTCTCTTAATATAAAAGAAAGAAGTTGTTTCCAGCTGACTCTGTGCAGCTGGAGGAATGTTCTTGGCAGGAAAATGTTTGAAGAAATAGCTCATTTTAAGCAAATATTGTGGAATATTTATAAGAAACTAATTTTGTCTTCACAATCATGTGTGCTTGCTCTGAAACTTGACTCTTGGAATTATGGTCCCCCAATAACAGGATTTTATCAGCAGCTCAGATTTGGGATATTTGCAGCAATGTGCAGTGCTGGGTAAAAGACTAAATAACAAATCCTCCTGTTTGTGGACTGGGCAAACAGAAAGGCAGAGTCTATCTGGCAAACAGACTATTTGCTGGGAGTTGTCTGTTCAGATTCAGCATGTGAACATGATATACCAATACTGTTTCTCTGCCAGTTCTGAAAGTCCCTTGAAAAAAAAAGGCATCAGATGGCTCTTTTTGCTGTATTCTAAAAATATCAAGGGCTCTTAAAGTCATTTTTATAAAGTAATATGGAAGTTAAGGATTAATTGAACCCACTGGCTTAGGGTATCTGCATTTCTGCACAAAATTAATGTGACAAATTAAGTTTTTATTTAGTTCTCCCTGGCTGAGAAAGGTTGTAATTATGTTAGAGTGTTTACAGCTAAAATATATGTTTAAATAATAAATACGTGTTTCAGAAACCATTTTAAACCTCCTTTTTAAACAGTGTACTCCATTTCAAGCGTATAAATATTTCAATTACAAAACTTGAATACATGTAAAATAAATTAAAAATATATTATTTACACTTCAAATTATTTATAACATATGCTGCTTGACATTAACAAACACACCCTTAAAGCGAACGATATTTTTTGGTTTTTAACTTTGCTTCTCAATAGTGGTAGGATTTATACTTTAAATATCCATGCATCTCAGGTACTTACATGGGTTTTACTACAATAAAATCCGAGTAATATAGGACCTTTATGATAATTATCTTCCCAGCACCTCTCTGAAGAAGGTGACTAATCTTATTACGATGTTGGAGAAAGGGAATTGAACTTTAAGCAGATTATGTGATTTGCCCAAGGTCCTATGGAAAGTCTGTGGCAAAATGATACTTAATTTAGACTGCATCCCCCAAACCACCCACAATTACAATTTGAAGTGATACTAGACAAATCCATGTGAACATACTTCACAATGCTCATTCTTTTCCTTTAATTTCCTCCTGTCTAGTTTTGGTTTAGATTTTATGCAGATCAGTTAAAATCATGTGTTGTTTGGATCCATGAAACAACAGGGAGAAATCAAGAATTCTTGTTGAATTCAATTACAAAATAAGCTGTTCGAATCCAGGTCCATCTGGCAACTTGGGATGGACCTGCTCCAGGTTTAAAATTGTACTGATATTCATAAAATGGGTAGTTCAAGTCTACGCTATTAAAGTAAAGCAAAAATATTCTTCCTGAGCACTGAAATATGCCAGACATTTTTAGACGTGGGAAGGCAAATGAAAGAACTTGTTTTGTACTTCGTATGTGGCTGGTATGTGTAATTTCAATTATTTATACATCAATATCACTTAGGGGTTATTTAGACAGCTGATGCCTTTCTGCACTTGTTGACCATGTTTGTCTGCTTCTTTTAGAAATAATTTCTTTTCCCCTATAGAATTTTCTATCATTCTCATGGACTGTGAAACTGAGAATTAATTACTTAAGGGAGAGATAGTGAAATAGTTTTGACTCAAAGCCGACTTGCAGCCCGTTGCAGCATCCACAGCAACAGACTGACTTTGATCTCAGCCCCATCTATAGCATTAATAATTTCATTACAAGGATTTGTAAGCATCATCAACAATGTTTTGACTGGCACTCACTTACCTGGGGTTAGAATTTGCCAATTAATGGCTTCCACTAATAAACAGAATCCAATGTATAATGAAAGATCCAATTCTGCAGTACCAAAACCAGAGCAATTTCCTTCCAGCCTCCTTACCTTTCCTTTTAAAATGTCTGTAGCCGTAATGGCTTCAATCCTTACACACAAAATGCTTACACTGGCTCAGGGGGCACTTTCATGATCACATAAGGGTTTCAGAATAGGGCTCATTTAAAATATCTCCTTTTCTGGAATGCCCTTTCATCCACATTTGTCCTCAAATTGAAGAATGAGATAGAGAACCATGAAGCCCATGAAGGACATTAGAGGATACTCTTCATATGGAATAAACGCTGCCGTATGTGCAATGGAATCAGTAGGGAGAATGCACTGGATATTAATTAAGGTATAATACTGATTTAATATCTATAAGAGATAAGGCAAAGGATCAGAAGCTCCATATGTCACTAGGCAAGAATTTTTCAGTCAGTTTGGAAAGGCAGGTCCGTCTCTTAGCTTGTTTATTCCAGTACTGCACTTCTAAAAATATCATTTTTTGTTTTTTTATAAAACTTCCAATATTCTTTCAGAAAGCCATATAGGCAAAACTTAAACCTTTCCTTTGAGCTGCCATCCCACGCCAGTGAGGCCAGGGGGAATTCTGCCCTGCACATGGAAGTGGCTACTTGGGTGGTGCTACCTGGGACTTGATACTCCACAGACTTATGAGGACTATCAAACTCCGTATGTAATATTGTGCCTGGCAAAGAGAGGACTTAAGTAGCTAGGAGAAGCAGCAACAGTAAAAATGGATGAGAAACAAAGAAAGAAAGGTTTACTCAAGCTATAGAGGACCCTGATGGATACAATAAGGCTGTATTTTTCATGCGGATACAACACTGAATGGACACTTTCAGGACATGCCATTCAGAGGTGCTGAATTTCTGCAATCTCCACTCCGTTGAGCTGCAGCTACAAGCAGCCGGTTTCCCTGGAATGCAGGATCACTTAAACGTTTGTTTCCTGTGGGCCTCTAGCTATTGTAGTGCAAAATGCAGAATTATTCACACAGACATTTATCCTTTCCTTTTCTTGAGGGAAAAAAAAAAGACTCTGAACTAAATTCTGAGCCAGCGAGAGGAGATGCAAATCCCCTGGCTATAATGTAGCTCTGCCACAGGTACATTTGACTAATTATTTACATAAAATTGAATGAGGAAACGATTCATATCTAAACATTTGTTGCTGATTTAGCATGTGGCATAGAAAAAGGACAGGAGAGCTGTGAGCTAGACAAAGCTATTAGACATTACCGTTCAGACAACACCTACCTCACTCCAAACCAGCATGGTGCCGAAGATGACCTGTAACCCATCAAAGAAATTGTCTCCTATGATGATGACAGTGGCACCTCCTGTAGTCCATCCTTCACTTGGACTGATGGCTTTGATACATGGTGTAGCTGCTTTTCAACACACATGAAAAAGAGAAGTATTCTGCCGTTAGAACCAGATTTTAATGATGGAAGACTTGAGAAAAATAAAATAAAAAGAGCTTTCATTTTCCCCCCCTTGGTAACACAAAGATTTCAGCAATTGTATTCTTTTTAGTACATTTCCATGACCTCCAGCTTCCAATCTTTGGAAGCTATTTTTATTTTTAATTAATTTGTTTGGGTTTGTTATCCACATTGAAAAAAATAATAACTCTTATAAGCCTACAAAAAGATAATATATTTTAAATATAAATATATAGGTAGATAGATAAATAATAGATCACAGCATGATGAGCAGAGACCAATTGGAAGTTAGAACAAATCTCTACCTTTTTTGTACATGAAATGCAGAATGCCTGAATTAATAAAACAATCTTCAGTGAGCTCACTTTATTATCCATCATAACCTAAATTAATCAAGGAAACTCCCAGAAATATTATGGAAAATATTGGCTTAAAAAAAAAAAAAAAGGGTGTAACCCTCAGTATTTCTTTAAGTTGTCTGCAATCAGATCCAGGTTGTTCTGGTAATTAAACCACCCTGCCCTGCATAATGCTTTAGCAACCACAGAAAAAACTTCACAAAACCAGAAGCCACCATCCTGCCACCTCGTCACTCCACTTATGTTGTGTCTACTGGGTAATTAAGAAGTATGTGCAATGCATTTCGCCTTATTCATAGAGTCTGTCACCACTTTCATGAGCCACTTTCTTGGCAACACATGTACTAAGTGCCTCCTGAGGGGATGTTGAAAACTCAAGCAGAACTTAAAGGAGAAAGCTCAAATCTAGGTGTAAGATCATCTGTATTAAGACTAGGAAAGTCGAAGCACTGTCAGCTCTATATACTGGTGGGTAGGGCAATAAAAACATCCACGGGCTGATTCTCCTCCTCTGCAGTACTGGAGTACATCAGAATTTAACTGTTTTGAGCCCGGTGGAATAACACTACTGTAAAAACAATCCGAGCAAGCCAAAAAGCACTGGGTAATTCTCAGCTGTTGAGTCTCAGGTTGGCTGTATAGGTTGATGAAAACAAACGACTCCAACTCAAATGCCACCTACTTCTCCTTGCTAAAACTACAGGAGGGAGAATTATGACCCCGCAGCCTTAGGTACTGTTTGAAGTAAAAAGAGTATCTGAACAATTTCATTAGCCACGAGAAAGAGACACATTAAAAAACAGCAAAACTCCACCAGTCAGCCTCTGTGCTGGAAAGACACATTCTTTCCTTTTGATGTGAACCACTCCTGAGCTCAGAGAAGAGGCCGGCTCCATGGAAAGTGCAAGAGAGGCTGCCATTGCCTCCACTACAGCTACAGTGTCAGTCAGGTGTCAATCAACACAGCTTCATTAGCTGTGTATATATCTGCACATAAACCTCTTCTTGTAAGTTGCTGGCACTTGGCTGTCCATTGCCATTTGGTCAAAAGGCTGGTGGAGCTGCTTGTTTGGTTTGTAATGTTGAATATTTGCTGACATACTCAAGGGAGAGTTTCATAAACTTATTACAGAAGGATATAGTAGGAAAACAGGAGGTAAGAAAGTCACCTGCATATTAACACAACCCAAGATAAAACCCTTGCACCCGTGAATTACTTAACATTGCTGAGTGGTGGCACAGCCCCTGCCCTGCTTTGCTTTGAACATAAGGACAGTAAATTCATTAATTCACAGAAGCATGCCTTAAAGTGCTCCAGACATAAAGTGCTAAAGAGACACTCTGCATCTTTATGATTATCCAGTGGGGTTCCGCTTGGTTGGAGTTAATGCCTTCCTTCAGCCCCTGGGCAGGACAGGCACTATGAGAGGGAGCTGGGAAGGGAGCTGGTGAGTCACCCTTAGTAGTGTTACTGTGGGCTCTGCTGCAGACTTGCACCACCAGTGATGGAGAACATTCATGGTGAGCAAACAGATCCTGTTCCCACCTACAAAAGGTTCTAAGTCTCAGGCACAAAGTTTTCCACTACTTCAGCTGGTGGGGATGCCAGCACCAGTGAAAAACACAAACACACACATGCTGAAAAAAAATCATTACTCTGCTTCATACTTGGCAGAGCGCAGCCATTAAGTTTTACATGAGCTAACAAAAGAAACATCCTAACATTACCATCATGAAAATGCAGCGCACACACAGAGGTAACTTCAATATGTTTAATTTGGATTCAAGTTACTTACATAAAAATGTGCATAAAATCAGTGCAAAGTCCAGAACCAAATGCTTTCCTTTCAGCCAAGCTCACAGCAATGGGTTTACAATGAAAGCAGCTTTTCAAAATGCCATCTAGCCCTTTCACAGAATCAAACCTTTTCATAAATAAAAAATAAAATCACTTCCAAATTACACCCTTTCTACTATTTCCAGTCGATTGTGGACACACACACCACCATAAAACCCAAAGATAACCATTTTCCCATGTGTTAGAGAATGAGCTACTTTTCTTTAAAGACTATAGGCAACATTTTTTTTCCTAAATACCAGTGAATAAAAACTGTTTAAGACCATAACCCATTAACGGAAAACATATGCAGGCTTCAAAATTATAGAATCAATCCATCTTTAAAATGAATGCAAGACACTGTTGTGCCATTGCCATTCCCCCTCCCCACTAAAGGTCTTGCTGTTTGTCCTGTGATCTTTGCTGCAGTAGCTATGCTACACTCACTGCGAGGCGTTAGGCTGCATGTGCTGCTTTGTGTGTTTGATTCTCATCTTTTATAAATGTTGCACTTCGATGAATCCGCTGGCAACAGCCCAGGACATCTCCTCTGAGGAGGAAAAGTCAGGACTGGGTTGTTTAATAAGCAAGGCAGTTTTGTATCCGTCACAGGAAAAACCTGAAAAGCAACGAGAGTACTGTGCACTCCCACAAAATGTGGTATTATTTTTCCCTGGGACCAACACAAAGAACAGTGGAACTTCCCAGCTTTCCCCACACAGCTCCGTCTTTTATCTTAAAATGCACATCTCTGCAAAGATTGGAAGGGTTGCATGAAGGTGCTGCCCCGCAAAGGAATCACAGAATAGAGTCATACAATCACCAAGGCTGGAAAAGACCTCCAATATTACTAGCCCAACCATCCAGCTACCACCAATATTTCCCCACTAAACCATGTCCTTCAGTACAACATCTAAACGTTTAGAGAACACCTCCAGGGACGGTGACTCAACCACCACTGTGGGCAAATATAATCACAGAATCACTAAGGCTGGAAAAGACCTCTAAGATCATCTAGTCCAACCATCCACCTACCACTAATACTGCCTACTAAATCACGTCCCTTAGCCATGCTGATGGCTGCAACCCCAGGACGCCCAAGGAGACATGCTGACGGAGGCATCCAGACTGCTGCCTGTTTTTGGAGGCACAAAACATGTTTATACAATGACCACTTTGTGACAGCTGGTGTTGTTTGGAATGTTGGTCTTACTAAATTCTTTGCACTTCCCAGGCCCTTTCTATGGAGCACCAGGAAGCAGAATGGAAGAATCAGGTACCATTTGCCAGCATCACCAGCAGAAACATCAGGAGGATGGCAGTGCTATGAGCTCAGCTCTATTTATGCCTCAGGTACACACGTCTGGCCAGCTCAGGCCCTCGGCTCTTCATATTTCTTCTGTTAACCATCTGGCAACTTTCAAAGTGCTGTCTGGAAGGTGTTTACTTCTGTGCAACCCTAGAAAAACAGAGCTAGGCAGAATCCTCTTTTCATTGTGGACCTCAACTTTTCTACATTTTGTTTTGGTCACAAGAGAAATCAAAGTACAGATCATTTTAGGAACAAAGTCCCAGAATCTCCATCTGAAATTAGCTATAATACTTTTTAACATTTCCAAGAAAAACAAAACATTTTGTTTCAAAATATTATCACATCAGATGACATTTTGTAACATTAGGGCATCATTTCTGAAATGGTGTTTTAAAAACAAATAGAAAAAAAAAAAAGCTACATCAAATTTTTGTTCTTCTGTAGAACAAAAAGATTTTAGTTGAGAAACCAAAACTTTACTGATGAAGATTGCATAGTAAAAGACTTCAGGCCAGTTCCAATAATGGCAATGAAGTAGAAGGATGGATAGCGTGGACAGTGTTATTTCAGAGAATTATAATAAAAATTCTTATATATCAACATTAAAAAACAGAACAGAACACCAGCTGGCAGCCTGCTTAACTGGAACAAAAAGAGTTTGGTAGTCTAACTATCAAAACAGATTTAAACCAACTCTCTGTGACCTGGTATTAGTCAACGCAAGCTTTCCAGGCTCCACTAAGTCTAAGGAAAAACCCTTCAGACTGCAAGTGTGGACCTTGCACACCTTGTGAAGGTGATGTGGTCACATCCTCCACCCACTGCAGTGGCCCAGTGGTTGTGAGCCTTAATGAGCTGCTCTCCTCCTTCACATGCTATCAAGACAAATCAATGTTAACATCTGACTTATTTTATTGCACTGCTACTTCAGTTTGAGGTAACAGACATAGATTTTAGAAGGAAGAGTCCCAAACTTATAGAAACCAATAGGAATTTTGCTGCTGCCTTCAACGCTAAGTTCTCTATCAATAAAGCTAAGTTCTCTATCAATAAATTTTAAGGATTTACAAGCAAAAAACCTTAATGAGTTTCAAGAAGAACAATGTCCTTTTGAAGTCTTCATGTTCCCTTCGAATACACGCTATTAAAATCTTGCCATCATCCATACAAAGGGTGGTAGGTACCAACTCAGCAGACTGTGAGCAAAAAGAAAGTTTTGTGCTGCGTGTACCAGTGGGTTCCAGTGTTCCTGTGCTCCCCTAGCTACTCATATACCAGGGATTTTTCTTCCTTCAAACGGTGACAATAAAATGATTACCCCTCCACAGTTTAGCATAATGGTTCAGAAATGCTCATGGCATATTGCAGAGTTAAAGTGGAAATTATTAGGTAGCTCTTCTTTGTTATAATAATGATCACTCCACAAATAAAAGCTCTT